GCTGTATGGATATTGTTGTACTGGGGTTTTTCTGTCAAGTCTGCCTGCTGATTCAATGTCACATTAGCTGCAATTTGCTGCTGAAGCAGTGTGGTGTTTGTGGAGCTTTCTGAGCACCTTCCTTCCACGTCACCCTGTCGCAGCACTGCAGTCTGTCGGGCAGCTGGCTCCTGGGGCTGCAGCATTTTGGCAGCTGCCTGCCCAGCGGCAGCACTCCCCTGCACCACACGGGCAACACCGGCCTGCACAACTGAAGGCTGCCCAAGCTGCTGGAATATCTGAATCGGGTGCTGCAGAACATGTGCCTCTCCTGGAGCCTGCGCCACCATAACAGGCATGTTTACCTTGTAAAGGTGCCCTGCGGAAAGAGGTTAAATACTGCTGAGACAGGGTAAACTACAGACCCCTCCAGTTCACTCACTGATATACTGGATTTAAAAAAAAAAAAAAAAAAAAAATCACTGTTTTAAATCTGCTTCCAGGCATTCCAGAAACTAGAGGCTACAAAATGAAACAAGGAACAATCATTCCCTGCTTAAAGGGCTATGTCACTCTTAAGGACCACTCAGCATCTCTGCCTCTTTTTACAGAGGAAGACTCCTAGTACATCTATCCTTCCTGTGTATGATAACCACTCCAAACACTGAACCCTTAAAATTATTATTGCTATCAATGTTAGAACTAGGGTGCCAGAGTCAGGTTCCCTATTTCATAAAATTATACCATTCTTCATATCCACCATGAGATATGAGGAATCTATACATGTATCTACCATACACAGATTCAATGAAAACAGTCTACAGTTCTCAACACCTTGGGAAGTATTTTAAATCTTAGGAAGCATGTTAAATAGGTATCTAACAGATACCAGAGTCTCAGAGACCAGCATTCTGGAAGGAGACGTATGACTGAACCCTAACACGCTAAGCACTACCAGCCAATGTGCTGTAGTGACATTAACCAACTTTGGCAACTTCACCAGCAAAATAGGGTAAGCAAAAAGAGGTAGATAGATTTTACCTGAAGTAGTAAATCTTGATTCTGAAGCATCAGAAAATGCCGTTGTCTGCTTAAAATATAAAAGACTATCTCTCACAGGACAAAGATGTCAGCATCTTTTAAAATAAAAGTGCCAGCAGTTTTAAAACAAAGGCTGGCATCATGTGGGGAGCCAAGGGAAAGTTTAGTGCAGAAGTACCTAACTGACGCATTGCAACTAACTCGCCAGTTTACTTACTCCAGGTAGAAACGGCAAGCACAAACTGCAAAGGAAGAGGAGGAGAGCTGTCTCCATCCAACTACACTTCAACTTCACATTTGCTTTATTTACTATATTTGGGACCATCTTTCAATATCCACATGCAGTCAAGGCACTGCACCATTTCAGATCTTCTATTTTCAGTCTTACCACATGCCGTCTGTAGCGTCACTCCAGCAGGGACATGCAGGGGATAAGCAACACCCGAAGGGAGAGCAACAGCCGTGCCTGGCTGCAGAGCGCCCTAGACACACAGCAGCTTTAGTAAGTCACAGTTCATACTGCATCTCTGAGGGTCTAACTCCCATTTAACACATCAGTTAGGAAACAGGTGTGCATGCCTTTTTGCAATCATCTTTTACCAAAGAGCTGCTTCAGACTCTTGAGGCAGATAGAGAACACTCTGTATTGACAGGACAATGACTTTTCCTAAACACTTTTTTAAACTTGCGGTTGGCTCCCCTTTTCACTTTTGCTGAGAGGCCACTGAGAAGTGTCCCAATAACACAGCCAGGATCCAGAACACCCACTTGGAGCTGCTTTTACCCAAGCTTATGCATTACTTCACACAGCACAGGCTCCTTGCCTAGGCCTACAGAGTCACTTCATAGCGCCCCCCCCCCCCCCCCAGCTTGGCAAGCAGAGTTGCTTGAGGCTCAGTGGCACTCAGTATGTTCATCAAGCTGTAAAAGACACTAAAAAAGAGACATCCTCCCCTCGTAAAATAATCTTGGCCTTATGAAGACTTTGGAATGTGTCACTCCAAAAACTCTCACTTGCTTCTGGATTACTTCCAGGCCTCTCAGGTAATGTTGCTTCCATGCTAGGCTAATGCTGGCATTTCCCAACTGCAACAGCAGTCTGCTCTCTGCAGACTCCACCTTCTGTACGGTTTTCAGCAGAAATAGAGAGGCTAGAAGTGCCAAACAGAAATTCGCTAGCAGCAGATACTCTCTCAGCAGAAATTCTGCTTCCTTGTCTACTACACTATATTGCACGCAGAATTATCACGTGAAATGCTACCTTTTCCATTTCTAAATGTTGTTCTCGAGTAGCACATGGAAAATATTTAACGTTAACCTCCTCACAAGCGAGGAGCTTAACTCTATCATGGAGAATTCAGTGCAGTCAAACTGAAAACAAAATGGCACTACAGCTACATACCAGGTCTGCTGCTGTGAAGTGCTGGAAGCCCCTGCCAGTTGGGATGACTAAAGAAGCTATTATTTAAAAAAAAAAAAAAAAAAAAAACTTAAACAGAAATATTTAATCATTCAGTACTTCAGCACTTTCCTGTAAGCATAACTAAAGCAATTTAAGTTCAGTTCACACTCATAAGAACAATATATAAGTAAGCACAGACACATAATGTTGCTGAATACACTTTCTTTTATGTTGCTTCACATTCATGCTGAATTCCATTTTTATTTTTTTATATCCTGAATTCATCGCACTCTGTCAAAAAAACTAATCTTGGAGATATTGTGATTTTAAAAAGATTGAACAGTTAAATAGGAATATCTAAGTAAGTCACACTGTAAAAATTAAGTGCAACATTTCTGCTTACTAAACCACCTACAGAGACAGATGTGCGATCTCCCATTTTACCACAACCATGAATGTTTATCTCAATTGCACTGCCTTGTCAACATGAGGAAAGGTTGTAAGTAATTTTCTGCACCGGTGCTAATGCAAAGGTGTGAATGGCCGGAGCAGTAGGGCAGGATTTTCAAAAGCCTTCACTGCTGAGTTCAGTGCAGGGACGTAAGTCAAAAGGAAAGTTTCCACAGGCTTTAAGAGCATTGCATTCCAGCTTAACACCATCACAGTGATCAGCTGGACTTAATCAAGACAAACCGACCTTGAGGTCATTTTGTGTGATAATAACTACTTCTCTGTGATGCAAATTATCTGCTTTTAGAAGAACTAACTGAAAGACAAACAAACAAAAATCTCCAAGCCTCATGCTCTTCTATTTGAGCAAGGATTCACTTCACTTACAACTACATACACATATTTAAAGATGATTCATATTTAAAGATTTGGCTGCAGCACAATGGCAGAGCTGCAAGGCACAAGCACGCTATATAACACTCAGGATACATCATGCTACACATTGCTGCAGGAAAGTGAAAGCTTAACCCTTCTGGTGAATTTGCTACTGAAGGGTTACATTTCTGGACTGCACACATGAAGGCTAAACTTCTCTCCACATTTTCGTGCTGGAAATAAGCAGCAGATCAAAGGCAGCTAGACACAATTTGCATTAGTTTAGAATTTAACCAATAGAAGACAAACTAAATTTTGATACTTTCAGACACACACTGTATTTCATTCTACCAGATATACACAGGAGCACCACAAACCAGGATTATCCCAGCACCCTCAAGTCTTCCAAAGATTCTAGAGCCACTGAACTATTCTTAAGTTGCATCTGTGGCCTGCAACAATCTGTTACGTTCAACCACATCCAACCTGCTGAAGCCTGCAGAGCACGATGAAAACTGTGTGGTAATTGCACAGTGAACTGTGGTGAGTGGTGGCTAGGTCTGAAGAAGCCTTCTGTTGCTTTGGACTGCATCACCTTGGTTTCCCAAAGCTGCAGAGAAAATATCAACATCAACAGATACATCAGCTTAAAAAACAAACAAAAACACTGTAATGATAATCGATTATCAACTTTTTTTTTTCCAAATGAACTGACCAGTTCTATTCAATAAATACAGCAAAAAATATTACTAGATTTTGACTTCACAGGATATCTGCATCTTTAAGTTAGAGGAAAACCTGCATGTTTCAGTGGGCAAAGACAGAGGTTTTATTAACTTAGATAAACCCAACAAACCTGCTTCAAGTCTTTCAGAACCTGCTCCTCTATGCCTTCTTCTGCAAAGAGTTCCCGAACACCTTGAATCACATCTTCGATAATGGATTTGTAGAGTTTAGGCTAAACAAAATAATTTAAAGCATTTACAAGTTAAGACGAAGATTAAGTCATTTCCAAGGATAGCACAAAGTCTAATCTGGCTGCATAAACCACTGCTGCACACTGAACATGGAGAGATCAGGGCAATATGCTAAAAGGTCTGCCAAATGCACCAACCTACAAGCAGACCAGATCTGCAAGTCCCTCCGTAAAACTAATGGGACACACCTGGAAAAACACTAACTTTTTAGCCTTGAAATATTGGTTTCTTTGGGCTACAGAAATGCTCAGGTAAGTCCTAGAAACATTAGAACAGCTACTGTGGTATATTTTGAAAATATATTTAAAATTGATATTTGCTGTGGGGTATCATTCTAGCAGTACTGGCTAATGTTATAGCCCCTAACTTGAGAGGCAAAATCCAATATAAACTACTAAGAACAGCAGCAACTCTTCTGCCAGAAGCATAATGTGAGTAACCTGTTAGCAAGGTTGAACCTAGTGAGCTGAATGTAAAGGACAGAGATTATTCCTTTGTGGCAATAATAAGACACTATACAGTCGTTTATCTACTGAAATCACCACCCCAATAGTTTAACATTGCAGTTATCAGCACATGTCTTCTCATACAAGACAAATGATAGCTGCAGCGTGGCATCTTATTCTCCCTCCTGCACATAGCAATGATTAGATTCTAACCCTCATATCAGATCTGCACAGCCACATAAAAGCTTCAAGGTTCACCCATTCAGATCCAAATATAAAATAAAGAGCTCTTAGCATTTTAGAGCCTTTTAATACTGACTGTCATCACTATCAGAATAATCTGTTACCACAAGGCCAACATACAGAGCATAGATTTTTAGAAAGCCTCAGCAGTTGGGGCTTCAGGACTGGATCATTTACATTTGCCAAACTTAACCTCATATTCATGTATCACTGCTGCAAAGTTGTTCCAAGCCACCAATGAAAGATTATTTACAACAACCACACTGTTGAACCAACTGTTCAGTTACTGGTAATGGCCCTTGCAATAAACAATCCGCACAAAATAAGGCTCCTGCAAGAGGACTGTGCTCGCCTGTGATTCCCTATGGGAGGCTGGAGACACCCGAGAACTCTCCCAGCACATGTCAGATCAGCATAAGGGCAGAGGGAGCTCGACTCTTGCACCACTACACTAAAAAAAGGTTGACGATACCAAATGCTTGACCTTCACTGCTCTTTGGGAAGAGGAGCAGAGCTTTAATTTCCTCCCAAAGGGCCTGGTCCTCTCCTGGGCAGGCCAGGCGATACTGCACAGGCACATCGCTATAGCTGGCAGACACCACGCCGGGTGTTACCCCTGGAACGCGCCAAGTGGCTACAAAACCTGACCACTCACTGTTCCAGAGCGGAGCCGGCAAACCCCTGCGCCACCAGCCACCTCCAGTTCTCCTTACACAGAACGCAGGGAGAGTGCACGGCTAACACCGCCTCCAGCAGAGCACCACCGGGGGAAGGAAGCATTTCAAACCCAGTCCCCAGAGCCTGCAGATGCAGCCGGCAGGAGGCACCAGGCTGCTCCCCAGCCCTTGCCCGGGCCCTGCACGAAGCCGGGCGTGCTGACCCGGCAGCTGCCCACCCTCCCTCCAAAACAGGACCAGAAAGGAGTTAGAGGAAACAGATGCTGCCGCTCTCCCCGCTCCGGGGGGAAAGGAGGTGCCGGGCCGAGCGCCCCGCGCCTCACCGTGCCAGGCAGGAGGGGAGGGAAAAGGTGACCTGTGGGTGGCCATGATGGCTGGGCATGAAAATTGAGCGCCTTCTCGACGTGGAGGAAGAGCTGTGTTTAGGGTTTGAGTGGGGAAATTGCCAGAAGGACTGCAGGCTGTGTGGAAAAAAATATGTGGAAATGGCCAAGTCTTTGACTCCCGCTCCATGAGGCTCATGTTATCCATGCGATCTCCTACTGCCCTGGGGCAGTAGGCGATGCCACCTCTGTGCCCCCTGGGGCTGTGTTTTCCTCATGAGAAGACCAGGCCAGAGGAGAGGCCCCGTGTTCCTCCCAAAACTGCTGGGAAATAACTTGAGTGCTGGGTACTAACTCCAGGTTTCTTCTTTCAGGGCCGAAGAGGGACCAGCCACCACACACACAGCAGGGGAGCCACAGGCCCCTTGTGCATTTTGGACTTGGGCCTCTAGCACAACCGCTGGCTTTTTTTTTTTTTTGAGTCTGAAACATCAACTTTGCGTGTGGAATAAAGGAGATTTTGTTTTGTTTTGCTTTGTTTTGTTTTTTTTTTGAGAACAGAAGGGAACAGAATTGCATGTGCCACATAGTGTGAAAATATACCTAGGGAAACTGGATGGAAAAGCATATTATCCTGCACTAATAAACTCAGGAGCCGTTACTACCTCCTAAACAGGAAGATAGCTGAAGCTACCCGTTATGTAGCAGCAATATGGTACAACTACACAAATTATTGCATACATTAGCAGCAATCTGTTCCTATGTTAATAAAGAGATTTACCAAACTAGCAGTTACTCTTCTGGAAAAACGATCATTATTCTTAAATATGTATTTAGGAAAGTACATATTTTTGTCTTACTTTTTACACCTTCCATCCATACACAGATCAGTATTGCCCTGACCATTCTGCTTAACCTGTATTATCATCTTTTTCCTTTATTTTTCCTTTTCAGGTAATTTTGTAAATATAATGCTATTTGACCTTCTGAAGGCTTGCCTTTACACTCTAGTCTCCAAGCTACCTATCAAGAACGACAAGAGTTTAGTGAAATGCTGACAGA